AGCCGCAGTAAATCCGCAGTGTACTGAACGCCTAACTTTTCTCATGTAAGTTTCAAAAAGAAATGCAGAGAACAGTTCTAAACTACCATGTTCCATAACGTCGTCTGCAATGTGCTTTAAACTATGCACATTGTAGATTAAGTGTTCGGTACCGTAACACCTTTCGTAACCTAATAAGAAGTTATTAATTTATACCCGAACACTGTTAGCGAATGTGGTATGAAACTTAGGGCGCGATAATAAATACATAGACAAAGAGAGTGACTGGAAGTTTCTGTATATCGACAGTGGTAGCCTATTATGAAGAACTACAGGTCCTAAGTACAATAAGAACAACCGACATTCAGTTGCTTTCCATACAGAAACTTCATGAAGTGAGGGACATTTGCGTTGAAAGTCGCATGTGCTGTGTTGCCTACGTAAGTCTAATGCCTCGTTTATTGATGTGATTACTGATTGATCCATCCCATGAAGTCGCTTAACAGCTAGCTCATTCCATAATGAAATAAGCTTTTTAGTCACCCCTAAATATATCATATGCATAGGTTCACCGGCGAAACATTTAGTCATATCCACTGGTAGATTTTCAAATGAACTGTTACCACGATGATGAATAGATTGGGACCTACTATGAAAAGTTACATCACTTCTCAATTCGTCATCCGACCATCCATTCGTCTCCCTGAAACCTGACATCTGTCGCAGCCAGCGGTACCATTGTGTCCCACGATGTACTTGACGTTGCTGCAAGCTGGAGCGTCACAAATAACAGAAACTAATTTAACCGTAAAATGTAGCTGAAACTTATCTACATTAATACCTACTGTCAACAAGTCCTGTAACTCTGTTATAAGTGCTGCTGACATGTCGTTGAAATCAGATGGTTTTACTTCACCACCGTAGATCCCAACTATGAATACACTACTAACTAATGAAGCTACTATGCGACCTAAGATGGGCCAGAGCTGTTGCTTAGAGCTTTTAAACAAGCTTGGACCATCGTAGTTCAACTGCAAATTCCATTTGACGAAACGGATTTGCCGTAGCCAGTGTTCCGAAATTCTCATCAGACTTGATTTCAATCCCAAGTGGTAATACGTTTCAGAATCGAAGATCTTAGGCCACACGTCGTTGCATCGACGCAGAACACTCCGGACGGATATTGGAAGTTCTGGATACCTCGCACGAAAAAGGTCCAATATTTAGTCAGCCTTCTTTATGCTTATGTCGCCACCTTTCATCACCCCAATTACTATTCTGTCTAACTGGAGACATTTTTGACATCATACAACCTATAAATGTTTAATAATTAAAGAGATACTACCGCTGGTTGTGTTGTCTGAACACTGGACGTAACTACATGAAGCAGTAGCTGTAACTGAGACAATATTAGCACACTGCTCCGTAGCTGCGGTAGTCTGTGATTCAGTGACGACAAGTGAATTGTCTGTCTCTTTGTTACTGCTCGGTAACTGACACTTCTTTATAAACTCTGCTTTTAACTTCCTCAACCTTCTGTAATAGGTTGCTCGGGAACAGTCGAACAACGTCAGGTATTTTTCGGCTTGAGCTCGCCTTTTCGCAATCTTATCGACCTGTCTATTATTATTCTGAAAGAAATAAGTGACTTAAGTAAGACTGAACATAGACAGCACACAAAGTTTTCGACAGTGCCAATAACTCACCCGCATAGCGTTCGAATTTTGAAAAAGTGATTTACAACCGACAACTCTTTGTTTCGTGTCTGTTTGTTGATGTATTTAAACATGACCTGACATTCGACGGACTATTCCTCACCAAACGTCTGTATTGTATTAAAATGTAAAGTTATTTATTCAAATTTACCAATTTAAGGCTTATTTATTTTATGGCGATGAAATGTTATAGTGGAAAAATGCGCTACGAACATTTTGGGGATTTCCCCCAGAATTTCCCCAAACATTGAGGAAGGCTATTTCGCCAAAATTTCCTCAAAGTTGGCAGCTTGGGAATCTTCTACGTTTCAGTATTATTTCATTGCTCCAATTATATCTGACAGATGTAGGGTCGGTGAAAATGAGAGCAGGTGCGACACAGTTTATGATCAGCGAAGATAGTGAGTGCTTTTATGCTTTCTATATGTTTCGCTTGTGTGGAAAAAGCATGTTGTGGTGTTGTTTTGACGAGTTATTTGCATTCATCTAGTTAAATCAATAATAAATTGGAAGGATATTTTCATGTACAAGAAGTTTCCTGGTGTACTGACAATTTGAATGTTTAAAAATATTTCATTTTTCTATGTTTGTTCGTTTAGGAGATAAACGACTTGAAAAGTTTTGTTCCAAAACTGTTGGACTTGATACTTTACGTGATATTATCGTAGCACTAACTCGTCCTTTGGATTTCGATGAGCGTCAAGGTATGATTATTGCCATGTATTTGTTTAATAAGACTAACTTTGTTGTCACTTTTGTTCGAAATGAATTTTGAGTGGTTAGTCGGTTTAGAAGCGTGATCTATCTATCTATCTATCTATCATAGGTGAAGATGTTGGGTAATTGTATACTGACAACGCTCTCCTGAAAATACCCATTAAGATATGACGCCCATATCGATGTGATTCTACGAATTTGGCCATTTAGAAATTTAAAAATGCTCTTATGTTCTGCTTGTAATAAATACCTATTAACCCTCCTGGTCTACATGTGATTCACTATCGTGTGCACTACGTTGAGATGCCAGATGGTGGTTGCTAGTAGTCGACAGGAAACTTGATCTAGGTTTCGTCCTATGCGGCATCCACCACCAAGATGTACCTGTCATCTTGAGGCAACTGATGCTCTGTAGTGAGAATCATCCCGTCCCACTCAGCTTCCGAATCATAGACGTTATAAGTCGGATTTTCGGGTTGAGATTGACTTCCTATAGGACTGAGATATACTTATAATTGATTGTTCACTTATTAGTGACCAACGTCACAGTTTTCTAGTTTTATATATATCGCTGACCGAATTTTATTGGTGTAGTTGCAGGTACACTCTGCTGACGAGTTCCCAGTACTGTGAAACTCAGATTCATGATTTCTTGTCAACCACCTCCAACCATCTAACATAGTTTTACCCTATTTGTTACGATGTTCTTAGTACTTTAATTTAAGTATGTGGTAGTGGTGGTGATAGTTGATTAATTCGATTGATGTAGACTATAACATGATGGGTAATTAAGGACAAACTATAGAATAGTAATTAGTTATCGGTTGTGAATTGTTCTTTGTGGTTGTCAGATTTCGTTCAGTAAATTCTACAGTATCTTAATTTAACTGAGTGAATCAAGATTGAAAACTGTTATATCTAGTAGTCAAATTTGTTTTAAGAAATATCTGTTTAATCATTGGTATGGTTATGTTGGTGTTGATTTTCTGTCTCATCGAAACCTCTTGGATATATGTAGATACATATTTCCGAATGCAGTGCTTATCTGGAAGTTCTCAAATATTTATTGGAAATCTGCAGTATGTTCTAATGACAGGAGTAAATCGAAAGAGATGGCCGAATGATATGACGTCGATTGAAAGAAGCTGAATGAAAGAGTAAATGAATACAGCGTTGAAACTCTTTTTCTAGGTTTAAATGAGTCACAGTAGTAAGTTTTGTCATTGTGTTAGCATAACTTTTATGGAAGCTACATATTGGAACGACGATCATCAGTGTAGATGCCATAAACGATGTTTTAATATCAAAGTGAATATCGTAGGCAATTTATCGTAACTATTTTTATTCGTCTAGCAGGTCATTATTTTCCTGTTATACCCTATGAATGAATAGAGTTCGTCGTTATACAAACTGTGTCGTATAATTTATATGGTGTTTGCTAGTCTCTTTTCGAGCAAGTAAATCACTACGTTACACAGCGTAGATTTGTACTACATCGAATTACAATTGAGTATTTCGAAAATGTGAATAGAATAACAAAAGATCCTTAATTGAAATGTTTATTTTAATTAAGTTTCCATTGTTAGTTGTCCACATTCATTTATCTACAATGAAAAGGAAAAAAATAGAAATTATTCAGTTTGTTGTTGTTGTGACAGTGTCTATGTGATTAAAGCGTTCAATTGTTAGCTGCTTTATTACGCTTAATTCGCTTTCGTCAACTAGATATGTGCAATACAGCCCTTATACACTTGGGCAATGATTCGAAGTGACGTACACTAATCTGTACTTGGTAACTGATTGAATAAATTTGTTTCCAATTTTTATTTGTAAGTAGTACATTCTGTAAGACTAGTTAAAATAGCAATTCAGTCTAAATATTATCACGAATAAAACAGTAAATAAATGTCTGACGTGTTACGTTCATCTGAATGAGTGTTGAATAAACGGCGCGGAGTTGCTAACGAAATTTACGGTTTCATACAGTAGTACGTTGTGTTGTTTGAATTAATCACATGAAAATTAGTAGTCTGTACCATTCGGTGAATGACATACAACGTCTAGTGAAATCTTCACTTGTAAAAATTAGATTTACATAATAGACAAGCTAGCTCATATTGTTAATGAGATTCAAATGAGTTTTTCTGTTCTACACTGTCTTCACATTCAGTTACTATGAAGAGATACATTTGGAGATGAATAGCACTGGTGTATTTAATCTATATGACATATTTTCAATGTTGTTGGGTGAATGTGTAAAGTGTTCAATGTGTTCCAATTCCAAATTTGTCTAGTCTGTTGTAAAGTGTAATGCGTTTTTATTAAGGTAGTCATCTTAAACTGGCATCAATGAGGTTATACCAAATAATGACTGTTTTTAATTTGATTGGGCATCTATAGTCAAATTTGCAATTAGTAATACAAGATTAAATTACGTCTTGTAACTTTGAGTAAAATAGAACGTACTGAGAAGTTAGTTGATTTCTCATCGATAAATACTGACCTACAATAAGAACATAGTTGATATGGTTTTTGAAATGAACACACATGGGATATTCTGAAGAATTTTAGATTTAAATAATGTTAATTATGGTGTATGTCAGGTAGCGTTTACATTGTTCAATTAACATACACCTACTGGAGTCAACTGAGAAGGATTTCGAAACAATTTCTAAACTGGGGTTTCAAACTTACGCCTAGATGGATCCTTGATATCCACCAACCAGATCGAAGCTCCGAACATTCACTTTTCGTCCTCTCAATTTCGTAAACAACATCCTTGTGATAAGGCAGTGAGTGGGACTTCCCTGATAATGGCTGTATACGTGTGACCATATGAGAGCATTTCGAGTGGGAGAGCTGACTCTCCCAACCTTCAACAGTACCAGGGCGTTTGTGAACCAGAAACGCGAGTTTGCACAAAATTTACATATGAATCTTCTAGTATCTTCCGAATCAGTATAGTTCAATTTAATCTTGACTTGATAATACAATATTCGATAGCTCTATCGTACTAGCAAGTTATCACTAGCTTGTATTGTATTTACGTTTTTATATTTATTTTAGAATCGAGACAATAGCTCTTGGTAATGGTCAAGGTAGTCGGCAAACTGGTTCTTGGTTGGCACATTTAATAGAAATTCAACATTTCAAACCTTTAAATGTTCGTTATGCTGTTGTAAGTGAGTGTGGTGCTTCATATTACAGTGCGTCAAATCTAGCTTGTACAGAATTACCAGATTTAAATGTTAGTTTCCGTGGTGCAGTGTCTATAGCTAGACGTTTACAAGATCCTTTAGCTGAACTAGTTAAAGTTGAACCGAAACATTTAGGTGTTGGTATGTATCAGCACGATATACCAGTCAATCAATTAACTTCCGCTGTTCATAATGTCATGGAAGAATGCATAAGTTTTGTTGGTGTTGATTTGAATGCAGCTCCATTGCATATTTTATCACGTGTTGCTGGTTTATCTGAGATGAAAGCCAAAGCAATTTTAACATATCGTTCACAAATTGGTCCCTTCCGTTCAAGAGCTGATCTTCTTAAGGTAAGTATTATGTGTACTTAAAACCTAAATGAATATTGTTAATTTTGTGAGAGAAATCTAATGGAGAAAGTTGTTCAACACACCCAATGAAGTCTGTAAAAGATAATAACATGTCGGAAGAGAAGTAACTGTTGCCGATGGAATTTGATGATCACACAATATATCTTAAATTGATCGAGATTGAAATTGCATGAAAAGAAACCTATCGAGTGGTCCTAATGAATAACAGTTCACTTCGGAACCTAAGAGTTTTAGATGCAATCCATGATGATGTCATGGTTGCTCGTTGCCAAGGGTTTCCATATGAAAAATCTGTCCCAGTGTTTCCTGGTTTTCATTGGTGCTCCAACTAATATTAATCTGTAACGAACACAACATACAAAATAATAAATGGGTGTAAGCTGGTCCTGAATTGTTATTTACCCTATGTTACACTTGGATTAATTGAAAAGAATATTTGAACAATGGATAAAAGTAACATAGTAAGTTGGGTAATATAGTTACAAGATGTCGAGTTTTCATGAGTTTCTTCTCCATTTAATAAATGCTAAAGTGAAGTTCTTAATTCAAATGAACTATTATTAATCCATGACTATGAGTAGTGATATGTGAGTGATAAGTCTACTAACTGAGCGTTTGAATTGGTTTCTTAGGCTCTTCTAATAACCCAAGCCAAATGTACACGGCGGCTTAAACACGAGAGAAAAGGCAAGTGTCGAAAAACCACTTTACTTCAACGTTAGTTTCTATACAGAAAATCGAGGTTATTTATATTATTTCAGATTGTCTTGGACATCTTAAGTTTCTAGAAACGTACTAATTATAGTAGCAGGAAAGATAGTTATCCAATGAGCAGTGTGATATGTGTTTGTTCACTTCCTAGATGTTTCTGAGAAACTCCCATTGAACACTGGTTGGATAAAATGTTTCCCAAAGTTATCAAGGCCTCTGTGTACTTGTTCGGTGAATACTTTGGATTTCCCTAACAGTTAGGCAGGCTGCTGTCAGCTTGATTTCAATAATTTTATCAGTTTCTAGAAAGTGTGAAATTTCCTGTGTTGCCTAAACAAATTATTAAGGATGTGTCCTGGCCAATAAATATGCAAATTGAGGGTGTAGAAGTTATTTTTCCAAAATTTAGTACACAATTCTATCGCTCTCAAGATATTCTTCATTTTGTAGTGTTATATTCGTTCCGTCTTCGTTTCTATCATTTGAAATATTCCTGAGAATTTTGAGGAATGAAAGCCTTTGTTGCACTTACGTTCTACTTTACCTCACTAAATCCCAGGTTCAAACTACATTCCACCTACTTCGATTTGATCAGTATCATTATACTTCACATTCGTATTTGAGTACCTGGAGCTGAATTTTTTTCATTTTATAATTGCGAAACCATGGTCCGCCACCAGTAATGACCTGTTCAAGGAAAACTGAAATTTACGCTTAAGTTGCCTCAGTGTGTCCAACGTTCGATTCTTCTTTCAGGTGCCAGGATGTTTTGACCAAATCCCACAGATTTGGTGTTTTCTAGTCCATTGTCTACGGAAATTCATAATATACCATATATTATAGTCTTTTGACTATGTTTAAGTGGCTTACAGTTTTCCGTAACTAATGACCGTAACAGACCAGTTCATTAGTTTATTGAAGAGGGTGGGGGAGGGTATGTATATATCGCTCGAAAAGTCAAATCATATTAAACCTCATGTCTATTTATGAATGATCAAATTGATTAAGGTGATCACATGTGAAAGTAGACGTTAGAGATGTCAATAATCTATTGACGATGAAACAAGGCTGTTGATGTTGAATATTAGCACATGACAAACGGGATTCACCATCTTGTCATTTCGTCTTATGTTTCAATGGTTTGCACTCTTGAATTTTAGTCATATAGTTAGAAAATTTGACGACGTAACTGAACCTACTCAGTTGTGAAGTGTCACACAGTATCTTGAACGCTAACTTAAAAGGTATTGATGTATGTTGCATGTATGTATGTGTGTTGTCGAGATTTATGAATCCCAAGTTTCACATGGCGAATTTCCGTGAGTTAAACTAGTGAAAAGCCATAAAGACTAGTGGAAAACTATTTCATCCTGGTTTTTCAGTGGTTGTCTTAACTTAGTCGGTCCACCATGTAAATTTTCAAATCTATGGTGTATTAGTCTAATATGTGAATCGGTTCATTTTGTAAAGTAAAATATGCAATGTTAATGTTTATTACTGGTCTTGGTTTCATGGTTTCATGCTTCAGTTCTCTTCTCATTTATTAAGGCATATTGTATCATATAGCCATTGTGGTTTTGTATAAACGTATCATGTGAATGAACTTCATTTTCAGTGTATATGTATGATTAACGAGACGAAATACTTGTGAAATCCTAGACATGCTTGATGTTCATCAGCAGTATCTTTAAATAAGAATAATAAATTCTATTCCAAAATATTATATGGTATTTTTATTTTGTGTTACGTTGATGGTGTTTTATTCGGTGTATTATGTTTGTTTATTAGTCACATTATTGCATAGAAAGACGTTTTTTAGTGGTGGATTACTTGTTTCATATTCTGTGGTTGATGATTGCCTTTCATATTATGTCTTCTCAATAAAGATGTGGTCGTGAAACAGGATGCTGTGTAGTCTTTAAGTCTAGGGAATGATAATCATTGATCAGCGACTTCCGTGCAATGATAGGAAGTTTTATTTATTTATTTATTTATTTATTTATTTGAACACATAAATATCGGTACAAGAGGGCACCAAATATATATGCGCCACACAAAACAATGAGAATTTAAAGAGAAGGAAAAAAGGTAAAGAGCGTGAAAAAAAGAGAACAACATCGACCAGATTAGTGTAAGGTAGTGTAATAGTAATAATAATGGGGGAAACGAAAAGGTACAATCAGAAGAAATCTTTCAGTTAAGGAAGACACAATCACTTTTTATGAAGAAAATAAAAGAAGGTTACAGCAGGATCGCCACTGGCTTCTATCTGGTAACGTCTCTAGCCACTGTGTAGCACCATCTCTCGGACCCCAGCCAGGGAGTCGTGAAGGGTCAACAACACGACACCATGTCATACACTGACCACCTCTCCGCTTTTTCCAACCAGTCCCAGAGTCGGCAAATAATGCACGACGTGGAATTCTCTGGGACGACATTCGTAGAACATGTCCAAGCCACCGAATTCGGTGTTTCAAGATGGTGACATCGATTGCATTATCGTCTATGTGCCCGAACACACGATGTCTAACCTCTGCATTACTAACATGGTGTTGCCAAAAATGGCTCAGATTGGCATAAGCCACTCTGACTTTCTTTATACGTGCATTGACCTCATCACTCATACCCCCACCAGCACTTATGCAGCTACCTAGATACACGAACTTCTCGACTACTTCTGTCTGATCACCATCCAGGGTGAGTACAGGATTAGAATCCTGCCAGTCTTGTAGAAGTAATTTGCACTTCGAAGGTGTAAAGCACATACCATACCTACGGACATTGATTGCCAACTGATTAAGTGCGGATTGCATGCCTTGGGCATTATCGCACAGTAAGACAATATCATCCGCATACTCAAGATCGAGAAGTCTTTCTCCAGGCAGCAGATCTTCACCGCCACTAATTACATCCATCAGAGCTGTTTCCAGAATGTCATCGATGGCAAAGTTGGAAGTTTAATAGGAGACAAATTATTCCAACTGTCATTCTTTGTATTCAAGGTGAATTGGAAGTAATTAATTAGGGTAATTTATGGATAGCGCTTTTATTTTAGGTTAAAGGTATTGGACAAGCTACGTTCGCTCAATGTGCTGGATTTGTACGTGTCAAACCCACATATTCTACAACCACTTTAGATGGGACTAAGTAAGTTTTTACATCTTTCTGTCAGTTATATAATAAAATCTTAATTGAGATCATTGGGTAACAGTGTGTAGACTTCATGTCGTATTGTGGTGTGAGCTACTTATATCCATATAAGTAGAATATAACGATGGTCAGGAATAGAATGTATTTCAGTAGGAGATCGAGAAGGAAAGAACGGGATCGGAAAGCAGTTGGTATGAAATTGCATGAACAATGCAATGTGAGACGATGGAGTGATATTTGCAAAAGAAACAGTCGAGTTTGAGACAATTGTTTGATATTTTGCAAACTAGGTATTTACTGTATGGTTCTTAGATTTTACTAAGATGTTCTGTAATTTCGTGACCAGAAGCAATCGATTGCCCCCACTCGCGTTCTTGTTCACTACAGTATGAATGTCCTTGGAGTAAAAATTCGTCGTTATATTAGGCTTGCATACTGATGGATTCACCTTTACCCTGAAGATCGAATCTAGTCAGTTATCAGTGATAACCAGCGTGGAACCTGGCACAAGTGCACGTTAGCTCAGACTGTCATACTACTTTGACATGACTAGGTGAATTTTGGAAGATAAATTCTAATATTGTGAGTATGGTTTGAGAAGATCGAATGAAAAGATATGTTTTAAGGAATATTGAAACTTAAGATGTAGGGAAGTATAGAAAGTGATTGGATTTGCTGCATTTCGTCTGATTCTGAGCCATGTCATTCAACCTACTTTTATCTACTGATGGCAATTATGGCCCAAGCCTAAAGGAAGTAATCTACATCTACCAATATGGCTCAGATCAGCAGTCGATGACTTCATGGACGAATGCTACATATTTTGGTTTAGCTGATCAAAGCCTTCTTCCAACGTGCTCTCACATCATAAAAACTGTTACTGCTTTCACTGTTTTGCATTCATTTCGATAACTTCATCTTGTTTTAATGATGTGGTTTGGAAATTTGAACTACCGATTCACATTTGTGCCAGGTTTTACGTTGCTTATGGCCGATTGGCTAATAAACCTATTCAATTTCATTGTCATTACCTACTTTTCACTTGTACGTAATTGATACCCTCTTATCTTTACAAGTTGTCTTGACATTGTCACTAAAGATTGTATTTCCTATTGAATTTGTAATTTCTCACGATCGATTGTTTAAAAACTTGATAACTACGTAACTACTATAGGCATATAATATTCGGATGTATTGCGAGCTGTTTGGACCAGTCGTTATTCAGATCGTGCAATCTGTGACTTACCTAACAGGAAACATTAAAGTTAAAATAAAGAAGAGTAGTGTGATATTTCGTTTTAGTGTAGGATTCTCCATCTTTATGTATGCAGATATCCCCACCTTGAATCATTTTCGAGGATCTTCAAGTTACCTTTTGACGAATAATTCTGGAATCCCATGAACGAAAACCTTTGAAGTAAACTATTCTCCACAAACTTTATGCCCGCTAGTAACTAATTTTGAGATTTAATTCTCAAAATCATAGCGGAAATCGATGAACAGCATAGTTCAACCATGTTTAGTTCAAACCCGTTACTCACTAGTGACATTGGCAGATGGTCGATTTAGTTTAAGCACTCGCCACAGGAGATCTATGTATCTTGTGCTTAATAACTGATGGGGTTGTGAATGCATACTGCTGAGGAGTTCCATATGAAGACGAAATAGTTGTGAAATGCTTTCATGTTTCAAATGTTTTTCTTACTAAATATAAGAAAAGTGACATTTTTGTCTTTTACATTACATTGCCATGACGGCTTGTTATATATGTGTGTATGCATTCTATTTCATGTGTTTGTGCTGAAAACAATTGGCACTTTGATTTTCTGTTTATTTCCTTTATTTTTCAACACTCATTAACAATTCAGGGATGTTGAAATGATTTCCATTTCGAGTGGTGATGATGATGGTGATGATTTAACTTGTGATACTAAAATAACCAATATTTCCACTGGTAGCACTAAACGTAAACATATATCCAATGAATTTAACAAGAAACGTAAAAAACCTCGAATTATGGAGGTAACAGTTACTGATCAATCCGATGTGAATTGTTTTAATCCATTAGATCAGACTGCTGTTCATCCTGATTCATATGAAGTCGCAACAAGGTGAGTTTGTTATATTCTCTGAGAAAGTATTGTAATTGTTTATAGAATAAACCTATCGGATGGTCTCGAGTACTGTTATGGATATGTGAGTAATTGTCACTTTTCAGCTGTTCACACCACGTGAAGGGATATTTCTTCTTAACGAAGGTACCTGTAACGTAAACTGAATTAGTCGTTGTTGTGGCTAACTGGAAACGTGAACTCAGAGTTCAAGTGACAGCTGATCAGGGTCTATCACACACAGCATTTTTGTGCATAGTTGTAGATATTACAGTCAGCACCTTCAAAGGCCTTACCTACGGAGATGGGAGTCTGGTGGCGTTCCAGATAATGAGTGCTAATTTTGGGAGTCATGTATTCTGACCGTTTCCTCCCATCGTAGGAAGGCAGTGTCGTTGTAGACTAGTTCTGTGGGGCATATATTGTACTTCTATCTCATATCCGTAAAGTCAGTAGCCTGACTTTGCCTTCAGACATAAATTTGTACTTAGTGAATTGGTTGTATCACTATTGAAATTAGTTTAAGTAAACGAAGTGTCTCAGTGGAAATAATTATGCCCTTGTACGGCCGAAGGTGGGGAGAGTCAGCCATTGCTCTGGAAATGCTCTCATATGGCCACGCGTATACAGCTAGTTCCAGGAAATCTCTACTCACTGTCTACTCGAGTCGGGGTTGTTGCTTACAAAATTGAGAGGATGGAAAGCGCATGTCCGGCGTTTTAATCTGGTCGGTGGATATGGAGGATCCACCTATGGGAGTTGGAAAAGGCCTGATTCCAAATCAATAGTGCACATGAGCTCCGGGATCCTGATGACACAAATGACATATGAACCCATTGTCGGTCATCGTCTGCCATGAGAATGCATCTCCTGACGTTGCTCCATCGCCTTGTGGATTAGACCTCTGGATTGAAGGCATAGGGATTGGTTGCGTAAGAGAATCCACCTGCTTCGGTTCGGCCACCCGGACAGTGTCCCAGCCATAACACAAATCAATGACAACTGCTACTGACCTCATCGTTATTGTGTGGCGCATATGTATATATATAACTGCTACCGGTGTGCTTATTGTTATATCCGAGCGAAGATTATATCACGAGTAGCTTCTGAGACATTAATTGACTAATATTATCTATATATTCTTATGGTATAATTATTCAATAATTAGATTATGTAAATTTATATTCTGCTTAATATAAGCTTCATTTTGACATAATTTATTATTCTACGATTCACTGTTCGTAAACTATGTTCAGTTTATTGACTACTGTCTCCCACGCTCACAGCCACATTTGGCCAAATGTTATTTTCTATTTAATGGTACGTTGCAGTCTGTCTGGTTGATATATAAACCGAGTATGCTTGAAATAAATGATTCGATTCGATTCGCATATTGGAAGCTGGTATTGGTGTTGTGGACTGAAGCGGACGGGCTAGGAGGACATAGGACCAATAAGGACACTAGGCTGCTCATACCGATCGAACGTCATTGGTTTGGCATAGTGCGAAGATTTGTATAAGTCGTATTTTGATTAGTGGATAAGTCACGTGATAAAAAGCCGGACATAAAATCATAACAATTATGTATGTTTACGAATAAATATACTAATTGTGATGGCACTTAACTTTCAGTACCATTATGCCATCTATTTACGAGTTATTCGTGTGGATGTTAAATCTTCACTTCGTAGTGGAATCCATGTCCGCCTGGTTCGGTTTGGGCAACCGAATTTATTTTTAAAGAGTGTGTTCACTTGATTACTGAGATACGTCAATGTTTAATGTAGTGAATTGAATATTAGTTAGTAATGTGTATCATGTAGACAAAATAATTCAGTTTCATTTTGTCATAATTTACTAATGTTTTTCTTCTTGTGTTGTAATCTTCTACATTTCAGTATTATTTCATTGCTCCAATTAAATCTGACAGATGTAGGGTCGGTGAAAATGAGAGCAGCTGCGACACAGTTTATGATCAGCGAAGATAGTGAGTGCTTTTATGCTTTCTATATGTTTCGCTTGATTGGAAAAAGCATGTTGTGGTGTTGTTTTGACGAGTTATTTGCATTCATCTAGTTAAATCAATAATAAATTGGAAGGATATTTTCATGTACAAGAAGTTTCCTGGTGTACTGATAATTTGAATGTTTAAAAATATTTCATTTTTCTATGTTTGTTCGTTTAGGAGATAAACGACTTGAAAAGTTTTGTTCCAAAACTGTTGGACTTGATACTTTACGTGATATTATCGTAGCACTAACTCGTCCTTTGGATTTCGATGAGCGTCAAGGTATGATTATTGTCATGTATTTGTTTAATAAGACTAACTTTGTTGTCACTTTTGTTCGAAATGAATTTTGAGTGGTTAGTCGGTTTAGAAACGTGATCTATCTATCTATCATAGTTGAAGATGTTGGGTAATTGTATACTGACAACGCTCTCCTGAAAATGCCCATTAACATATGACGCCCATATAGATGCGATTCTACAAATTTGGCCATTTAGAAATTTAAAAATGCTCTTATGTTCTGCTTGTAATAAATACCGATTAACCTTCCTGGTCTAGTTCACTGCCACATTCATCGTTAACAAAATGAGTTTCTTTAGATGAATACAACCTTTTTATCAGTAGTCGTCGTAGTCGTGGTAGTAGAGTGTCTTTCTGCTAAAGTGTATTTGTGATTTATTTAGTAATATTTGTCCGTTTACTGTAACCCTTTACGAAACAACGTGGTTTTCTTCTACTTTAGACTGTTTTACTCCATTGTTTCATTCGACCGTGATGAAAATATCAGATTTACGTAAAGGTATGCAAGTGAAAGGTCGTGTAGAGAATGTCACTACTTTTGGTGCCTTTTGTGATATTGGTGTTGAAGAAAACGCGTATATTCCCAGACATGCATATCCTCGAAATTGTCCAACTTCCAACCTAAAAATTACCAATGATACTTCTGCTGGAATTGGCGTCAGTGACGGCGGTAATATTCATCACAAAATGTTCACTTTACGTTTGGGTGATCGAATAAAAGCTATTGTTTCGAGTGTTGATATTAAGTATAAACGAGTTGCATTGGATAAAGTTTCTGTAATGACGTAAACATGATTGTTGTTTTAAACACTGAGAGAGGAGATTCAAGCAAACGATTTTTGTATAGCATTTCCACATTTATTTTTTTAATTAACAATTTATTTACATAAGGTTTTGTTATTGAATGGTTTCTTCCCGTTGTGTAATTTACTTTTCTACATATTTTGTTTACAGTTTATACGATTTATAAACAACCAACTCCAACTTTACCTTTTTCTTACAATCGAGTTATCACTGAGTAGTAAGCAATGTTATGTTTGTTTAGTCCTGTAGTTAGCTTTGATTAGATTCTGTCGCTCAATTTGCAACACGGCCTTCAGTCTACATGTGATTCACTATCGTGTGCACTACGTTGAGATGCCAGATGGTGGTTGCTAGTAGTCGACAGGAAACTTGATCTAGGTTTCGTCCTATGCGGCATCCACCACCAAGATGTACCTGTCATCTTGAGGCAACTGATGCTCTGTAGTGAGAATCATCCCGTCCCACTCAGCTTCCGAATCATAGACGTTATAAGTCGGATTTTCGGGTTGAGATTGACTTCCTATAGGACTGAGATATACTTATAATTGATTGTTCACTTATTAGTGACCAACGTCACAGTTTTCTAGTTTTATATATATCGCTGACCGAATTTTATTGGTGTAGTTGCAGGTACACTCTGCTGACGAGTTCCCAGTACTGTGAAACTCAGATTCATGATTTCTTGTCAACCACCTCCAACCATCTAACATAGTTTTACCCTATTTGTTACGATGTTCTTAGTACTTTAATTTAAGTATGTGGTAGTGGTGGTGATAGTTGATTAATTCGATTGATGTAGACTATAACATGATGGGTAATTAAGGACAAACTATAGAATAGTAATTAGTTATCGGTTGTGAATTGTTCTTTGTGGTTGTCAGATTTCGTTCAGTAAATTCTACAGTATCTTAATTTAACTGAGTGAATCAAGATTGAAAACTGTTATATCTAGTAGTCAAATTTGTTTTAAGAAATATCTGTTTAATCATTGGTATGGTTATGTTGGTGTTGATTTTCTGTCTCATCGAAACCTCTTGGATATATGTAGATACATATTTCCGAATGCAGTGCTTATCTGGAAGTTCTCAAATATTTATTGGAAATCTGCAGTATGTTCTAATGACAGGAGTAAATCGAAAGAGATGGCCGAATGATATGACGTCGATTGAAAGAAGCTGAATGAAAGAGTAAATGAATACAGCGTTGAAACTCTTTTTCTAGGTTTAAATGAGTCACAGTAGTAAGTTTTGTCATTGTGTTAGCATAACTTTTATGGAAGCTACATATTGGAACGACGATCATCAGTGTAGATGCCATAAACGATGTTTTAATATCAAAGTGAATATCGTAGGCAATTTATCGTAACTATTTTTATTCGTCTAGCAGGTCATTATTTTCCTGTTATACCCTATGAATGAATAGAGTTCGTCGTTATACAAACTGTGTCGTATAATTTATATGGTGTTTGCTAGTCTCTTTTCGAGCAAGTAAATCACTACGTTACACAGCGTAGATTTGTACTACATCGAATTACAATTGAGTATTTCGAAAATGTGAATAGAATAACAAAAGATCCTTAATTGAAATGTTTATTTTAATTAAGTTTCCATTGTTAGTTGTCCACATTCATTTATCTACAATGAAAAGGAAAAAAATAGAAATTATTCAGTTTGTTGTTGTTGTGACAGTGTCTATGTGATTAAAGCGTTCAATTGTTAGCTGCTTTATTACGCTTAATTCGCTTTCGTCAACTAGATATGTGCAATACAGCCCTTATACACTTGGGCAATGATTCGAAGTGACGTACACTAATCTGTACTTGGTAACTGATTGAATAAATTTGTTTCCAATTTTTATTTGTAAGTAGTACATTCTGTAAGACTAGTTAAAATAGCAATTCAGTCTAAATATTATCACGAATAAAACAGTAAATAAATGTCTGACGTGTTACGTTCATCTGAATGAGTGTTGAATAAACGGCGCGGAGTTGCTAACGAAATTTACGGTTTCATACAGTAGTACGTTGTGTTGTTTGAATTAATCACATGAAAATTAGTAGTCTGTACCATTCGGTGAATGACATACAACGTCTAGTGAAATCTTCACTTGTAAAAATTAGATTTACATAATAGACAAGCTAGCTCATATTGTTAATGAGATTCAAATGAGTTTTTCTGTTCTACACTGTCTTCACATTCAGTTACTATGAAGAGATACATTTGGAGATGAATAGCACTGGTGTATTTAATCTATATGACATATTTTCAATGTTGTTGGGTGAATGTGTAAAGTGTTCAATGTGTTCCAATTCCAAATTTGTCTAGTCTGTTGTAAAGTGTAATGCGTTTTTATTAAGGTAGTCATCTTAAACTGGCATCAATGAGGTTATACCAAATAATGACTGTTTTTAATTTGATTGGGCATCTATAGTCAAATTTGCAATTAGTAATACAAGATTAAATTACGTCTTGTAACTTTGAGTAAAATAGAACGTACTGAGAAGTTAGTTGATTTCTCATCGATAAATACTGACCTACAATAAGAACATAGTTGATATGGTTTTTGAAATGAACACACATGGGATATTCTGAAGAATTTTAGATTTAAATAATGTTAATTATGGTGTATGTCAGGTAGCGTTTACATTGTTCAATTAACATACACCTACTGGAGTCAACTGAGAAGGATTTCGAAACACTTTCTAAACTGGGGTTTCAAACTTACGCCTTTTTTCTGCCAACCATTCCTGGAGTTCTTGTACTATATATACGATGAAAAAACCGAATAAATTGTAGAGTTTATAATTTTGATAAACTACATCTTCTCATTGCATTATCGAAATTATATATTTATTGCGTAATCACTTATAACTGAATGGAAAGTAAGTGAACACATCCGTTAGATAGATTTCAACAGACTGTATGGGTGCTTAATAAAAGAAAGAATCTTCGTAAAATTTACTTGTAGAACTTATATTCATTCGATTTCTAGTGGCTACAATACAAAATGGAAGTTAGTCATTGATTAGCATGAATTCTGTCTTGTGTCAATGTAATAAAACAATAGTACCTGTTTGGTTTGGGATGTTCATGTACTAGTAATTGCTTTTTGGAATTGAAATGAATAACGAAAATGAACCACTTTGTTATTGAAGAAGAAGAAGGAGGAGGACAATTGAGTGAAGAAAATGTCCTTTTCGATGGTTTAGTTTTCTTGCTCTTGTGGAGTAGATTATATTGGCCGCACGGAACGAGCTCATTCGAAACGTATCTGCCAACATCAGTTTACACGACTTCCAAAATATTATAGAAGTCAATCAAAACCTAAATTATCGAGCATCTATTCAATTCCGGTCATTCACTAGTTGGTGATGAGCACTGCTGAGGAATCCCGTACTTGAATGAGACGGCCGTCCACTGATTCCACCTTTTCCATTGTGGTCTAGCTTCAATCGACTCATGAATCCAACTATTAAATTAATACAATCTCTACAATATCCCCTCTGATAAATTTTAATAAATAGAAAGCTTATATACAATATTTCTGTATCACTTCACATATAAAACAAACAAGCTGCATACTTACTCGCCATGTTTCTATGAGGTGTAGTGGATACATCTAAACAAGTTGGGGATAATAATACATGTCTTACATATATATCAGATAAATTTATATTTTCAAATATTACAATATGGTCGAATACTCGATGCTTATTTCGTAACATGATTGTAATGCAAAACTCACCATCCCATATGACAGTTACAATTGTGAGTAACAAAATGAATTTTAGCATGTTCACTGTTGACAGATAAATTCATGAAAACAACTCGTGTTTATATAGTATTTTTGATTGTGGGAGGCTGGACGACGGACAGGTGTCGTGAAGATGTTTCAACGAATCACTATTTACAGAATATGTTTGTATCTGTCTATTTATTAGAGGGACTGACGTAAACATTATCATGGTTATGTTTACTAATAGAACTTCCCTTCATACTGCTGCGCAGTGCTTTTGCGTTATCACAAACATATATGTATAGGGAATGCGTTACGTTACACCTAATTAGTGAAGGAATTTATCTCAGTTATGATAACCATTTGGTTTTTCTAGCTGAGTTTAGATAATAAAAGACAATATGAAGCCGTCTATCTTGATCACTGTATTAAGGAACAATCAGAATGATATCTGAAGAAAGACATCCTGAAGTTATCATAGTAATCTATTGATGATTTACTCACTTGTTTCCTTCTTATTGTAAATGCCCATATGAATCATGTAACTGGATTAGTATTATATACCATTACAGAACTGAGTATACCTCTGTGTAAAGTTTACATCTGTCTTCCTACAAGTAAAATAATCTACCCTTTAGTTTTCATTTCACATAACATCAGCTTTCCATGATTAGTAAGAAAACGAAAATGCACGACACATTTGAATATGATGTAGTAGCTTGTTTGGATTTCGGCACCAATAAAAGTGCTAATTCGTTTAACCCAGTTTATATTTAGCAATTAATCGGACTATACAATCAATCTAATGTACCATATTTGACATCACTTATCACTGAAGTCATTGACTATGCGAAAAATTAAACTGAACACTAATGATTAAAATGCTTTCCAACTAGTATACGCTGATACGTTTTCGATTGTAATTGAATATCCAATTTGAAGTTTTGTCAGTAATTCGTGATCGGATATTTGCAACCAACTGGTTTTCTCATATCATACGAATAATCAAGGTATGCTAGGCATTTTCTAGATGTTGTTGTTAACAGATGAGTGATTTCACAATGTTTCACTCTCGTTGTGTTTTGTAATAAAATATGAAGTTGATTAGTTTATGACAGACATACAGTAGCCAGATTTGTTTTGATTTATTATGACTGAAATTAGTATGAAATACTAGAAGTTATGTGCAAGATTTTACTGTTGAGCAATGTAAGTTCTCAATAAGCTGGTACATTTTGTCAACAGTGCAACGCAGTTGCAGTTAGTTTTCTACTGTGCTAACACAAGATCGGTCTATCTACATTTAAACTTAGGGAATCTAATTTGAACTAGAATATTGGTTGTTTGGGACTGTAATTAGACGAGATGACGTTGGAAGCGAAAGGTTATGTGTTGTAGTTCTGAAGTGAAAATCAACTGTGGGATGCAGATACATCCAACCGA